AATCATCGTGCTTAATTTTCTAAGACTCCCGCTGAGAACAGCGCGTCGAACGTTGCGCGGGAGTGAGATTCGAATGAACGAAACAGCCATACATTGAAGACGCAGGGCCAAAGACAGCGGCTGACAAAAGACAAACACACCAAATATGTGCCGAAATTCCAACAGCTTTCTGGCCGTAGGTATAGGGAGGTTCTTAACCCCATTCTTCCCTTTCGGGTTAGACCTGGACGAGCTGGCAGTTGGCAAGATTTGTTTGGGGCGCTTAAAAGATGAGGGGCGGCGCGGCGTTTGAGCGCGCAAAAATTTCTAGAACGGCCTTTATAGGTGAGTGCCATTTGGACCATGTTGGAACCATCTTGAAGCTTGGGATGGTTATCGGAAGCGAAAAGACGAGAGACTTTTTAGAGGGAGGTTTCGGAAGCCTCCCAGAGCCGTCTTGGAATGTCCTTCGAGCCTGCTGGGGCATCTTGGGAACCGGGAAGAGAGCTCCAAAACGACTCCAAGAGCGCTTAAGAACTTTCCAGAAATGCCGAGCGCCCGGCGAGGCGATTTTCAGGGTTCCCTGAGATGGCGCGAAAACGTACCCAAACGGCCCCGCTAAGCACCCACAATGCTTCCCAAGAGTCCGTCCTAAACAGACGTGTTTTGAATTCCGCTGCTTCGCATCCGTGGCTTGACTCCGAATCCCTAGCACTTGTCTTTGCGAGGGCGTCTGCGGCAGGGGCGCCCGACGTTCCACTGGCAGTGCGGGCTTGCAGCGATGGGTTGGCATCGGCTTGCAGCAGGTACACGGTTCGCGTTCGTGCAAAGCTTCGCTCCTTGTGGAAGGGCTCCAAGCAGTGGTGGCATTAATCCCGCGAGTTAATTTGAAGACGCTGCGCGGCCGCCTCCCCCCCTTCGGTTTGTTCCGTTCGTACGCAATGATTTTAGCGTGCCCCCGGCTCGGTCGGCATTTCGCGTATAATTTTCTCTGCGCGTTGACAATGAAATCGGATCAGACCTCCTTCCCGCGAGTGTGGGAGATTTGTGGACGTGAATTCACGGTACTTTTCACTAAGCTCGCTAGGCTCATTTTGTCTCGTAGCGAGTGCCCCCATGCGTGGGCTTCGCATTGGATGCACTTTCTACACGAGAGGCGTTCTCAGCACAATGCAAACGATTATCGCCACATCTTCCTCCCCCCCAACTTTCATAGCGAGCCGTTCATTCCTACAGCTGTGTCCGACGGCTGTTTCGGCATTCCAAATTTGTTTATGCGCCCGGCCGAGGTATTGCAGCCGCGCTGCCATGGCTTTTGCTGTTTTGTATTCAAGCTTTCGGTGAAGATAGCAGCGCAGGGCTGCGCTGCTCAAGCGCACCCGGAGCTCTCGGCCGTGCGCGAGCCGAGCGTTCGATGCAGAAATTGGTTGCCGCTCCACATCCTCGTGGCATCTTCCGCGTCGTTCCTAGGGGCTCACATGCGAACCCTGCCCCTACCCCACACGATCTCTGAGGGGAGGGTGGGGTTCACTTCGTTCGGGAGCTCCCGAGCGAGGTGAGCCCCACCCTCCCCCTCAGAGATCGTGGGGGTTAGGGGTAGGGTTCGCATGTGGCCCCCTAGTTCAGACTCGGGCCTCGCTCTGCTAATGTCGTGGTTGGCGGAGCCCACTCGGAAGTGTTCGACGCGTTGGACATGTTATGCCGGGGCACGCTTTGGAACATTTTCTTCAGGGGCGCGTCTGACGCCGCTGTGCGAGAAGTCAATTTTGAAAAAATTGTTCACGCTGACACTGCGCTGAAATCGTGCGGCAAATCAATCAATTCGGGGGCCATCCTTGCGAACCTCCGGGGGTGTCAAATTCTCTGCGCACTTGGGATCTCGCTGATTCTGTAATATTTTTCCGGCGCGGGTAAAGAAAGCCACTGTGTCATAAGTCACAGGCAGCCGCGCGGCGACTCATTGAAATACTACGGCGTAATATTTGATTACGAGCTTTGCATGCGCGCCGCTGCCGACGAATGAGCATCGATATGCCTCGCTAGTGTCATGTGCCTCTTACGCATCAAGTGTTCCCGCACTCGGAAGCGGTGTACCTAAGCCGCGTGTTGTCATGCGCCGAATACCGCGAGCCTGCGATCGCGCGCGCATCGTGCAGCCCACTCCGCGTGCAAGATACCGTTCAAGATAGGTTTTTTCGAGCCCTTGGCTCTTCGGCCGAGGGCGGTGGCGCGCATCTCAATTCAGCAACGTTGTGCACTCGGCGAGACATCGCTACCTTGGGCATGCTTCATAGGTCTGCAGATTTGCGTGGTCCTTCGATGTTTCATGTTGCATTTCGTCTCGATTCTCCCCCCTCCTCGGGTTCCTCGCCGGTATCGCCGCCATCGCATGGATCCGTGCTCGTTGCGCACCCAGCAATTCGTCGCGCAGTCTGCGCTTGGTGCTGTATATCGCTACAACATTCTGCCGGATGTCGTCGTCGCTGCAAACTGCGCGAAAGAGTGTCAGAGTCGAACGTTTGCCCTGTGGTGGCGTCGCACTCTCGCGGGCCATTTCCTGAATTTCCACGTTTTCATGGCGAAGACCGCTACGTGACCATTGCTTCCGCAACTTGCGCGACTGGCATGGCTAGTGGACAAATCGCTGGTATTTCTAACGGTGCGGTTTTGTTCCATTTTGTTCCCTTCGTCCGTCCCCCCTGTCCTGTCCCCTCCTTCTTTCTTTCTTTTTCCTCCTCTTGTTTGCTGTCGTTGGCTGGCCGGTTTCGCAGGGTTCTTTTCTTTATTTTCCTTCTCTTCCCTCTCTTCGCGCGTCGCCTCCCTGGCGTTTGGCCTTCCCCGCTCGCCTCCTCTTCCTCTCTCCCCCTGCCGCCTGTCGCTTGCTGTTACCCCCTCCTCCCTCCCTCCCTCCCTCCCCCCCCCATCCTTCACTGCTCTCGTCTCGTTTCGCGACCTGCGCTGTTTTCCTGCGCCCGCGCGGTGGTTTTCGTTGCAGCTGTCTCGCGAATCGGCAAATTCGCACATGGCCCAGCGGGGTTTGCGCTGGCGAGGCGTTTTTTTGTTTATTATTTAAAAAACTAAAACACGATTGGGGGCTCGTTGACATGATTTTTCAACCAATTTTTTTTTTGTCCTTCTCATTTTCTCTTCCTTTTTCACCCTCTTCCTTTTTCCCCTCTTCTCCGTTATTGTCCAGTTTTTGGGAGTATCGAATTATTATCTCTTTTATTTAGTTCGGCATGTTTCACTTTCATCATACCTTGAAGATATTATTGTCGCAGTTTGGTGGGGACACGCGAAAGGTCCACGATTGCAACAAGACGCGCCACACGTGTGTCTTGACAAAGCAGCTGCGCCACGTGCCCACTATACGCGACTAGATATACAAAATCAACAACAACAAAACATGCAACGCCGCCAACCGCATTTGTGGTTGAGGGTACATTTTCGCTAAATGTAGCTGAGATCGGGAATCCCAAATGACCTCGCTACAATTATGTTTGATGATCCCGTCCCGTTTTGCATGATGCGTTCTTCTTTCGTGTCCGGTCGCGGCGCCCATATTTGTGAACGATCTTTTACTATATATATATATATATATATATATATATATAAACAAAAAATCAATACTGTAACGCAGAAAAAAGAATGAACGACGCCGTCATCATTTTTCGGTTTAGCGTTCTTTTGCGCCTGCTGCAAGCGTTGCCGAGAACGTGTGTTGTTGAAATTCGCGGCAAATTTCAAATCCGCCGACCCCTCGTGGGTCTCCAGGCGCGTGAAATTGCCCCCCCCCCATAAGCTCTCCCCGGGACCCCCAAACCGGCAATTTGACCCCTCCCCCACCTCGTCGCCCACTTCGACCCCGGACTGAACTCATCCCGGGCGGTCTGGGCCCCCCAAGCTCGGCTTGGAACCTCCCGAGACATTCCCAGGATGGCCTAAGAGAGCACAAAATTGCCGAATGCTCGCTGGAAGGCGCCCGAGATGGGACCGCGACGGCCCATGAAGCCGCCCAGGTGCTCCAAGACGCCTCCAACACGCCAGCGAACCCAAGAAGCCAAAATCGTCATATTCCTTTGGGGGAACGTATGTTCTGGCACGTGCGTCTCTTCCTCCGTCGCGGCGATGAAAACCGCCCACGAGGCCGCCAAGAGCGCCCCAAGAGGGCTCGAGAGACTCCCGAGAGAGCCCCGACATGGCCCAAGAGTGCGCTATGACGGCCCGAGAGGGCCCTAGCGTGCCCCATGACGGTTCCAACAGAGGCCTTAGAAAGGGACCTCGAACCCAGAGTTCCAATTTTCCGCCCGAAGAGGCTCCGGGGGAACTCAAAGATGCCCCCAATAGGTCCCGAGAGGCCCCCAACAGCCACGCAAGAACAACCGTAAACCCCGGACTGACCTCACCCAGGGCGGCCCGGCGTCCCAGGCTCGGCTTGGGGCCTCTCAAGACACCTCCAAGATGGCCAAAAAACACAAAAGCACCGAATGCTCGCTTGAAGACGCCAGAGACGGCCCATGAAGCCGCCCAGACGCCCCAAGGCGCCTCCAACAGGCTAGCGAAGAGAGGCCCAGGAAGCCAAAATCGTCCGATTCCTGTGGGGACACGCATGTTTTTTAGCATGCGCGACTCTTCCTCCTTCGCGGCGATGGAAACGGCCCACGAGGCTGCCAATTGCGCCCCAGGAGGGCCCGAGAAACTCCCACGAGAGCCCCGAGATGGCCCGAGAGGGCGCCGCGACGGTCCCAGAGGCGCCCGAGACGGCCCCGGCGTGCCCCGAGACGGTTCCAACAGAGGCCCAAGAAGGGGGCCTCGAACCCAGAATTCCAATTGTCCGCCCGAAGACGCTCCCGGGAACACCACGATGCCCCCAATAGGCCCCAAGAGGCTCCCAACAACCACCCAAAGGCAACAATAAACCCGGGTCTGAACTCACCCGGGGCGGTCTGGGCTCCCCAGGCTCGGCTTGGGGTCTCCCAAGACACCCCCAAGATGGCCCGAGAGAGCACAAAATCGCCGAATGCTCGCTTGAGGACGCCCAAGATGGGCCCAAGACGGCCCATGCAGCCGCCAACGCGCTCCAAGACGCTTCCGACTGGCTAGCGAAGAGAGGCCCAAGAAGCCGAAATCGTTTGATTCCTTTGGGAAAGCGTCTGTTTTTGGCATGTGCGACTCTTCCTCCTTCACGGCGATGAATACGGCCCACGAGGCCGCCAAGAGCGCGCCATGACGGCCCCAGAGGCGCCCAAGACGGCCCCAGCGTGCTCCGTCTCCTCCGTGTACCTCAGCTCCCTGTGGAGGCCCCCGAACAGCAGCTTCAGCTTCTTCACGAGCACGACGTTGATCCTTGCGCTTCTCCTCCATCCACGTCTCCTCGTTGAAGTGCTGGAGCGCCTCATCAGCGTCACGCTTGTCCTGTGAAGCCTTCTCGTGCGCAGCCGTGTCCGTGGCCAGGAATGCCCTAGCCTCGACCAGCTGCTCCTCGAGCTTCTGCACCTTCGTCTTACGATGATGTACATCTTGGGAGGCCAAGCGCACCGCCTTCGCTGCATCTTCGACGACGCGAGTGAAGCGGGTGCGCTCGGCACTGGCAGCACCCTGCAGACGTGCCGCAGACCATTCAGGCTCGACTGGGGCCTCATCTTGAACAAATTGAGCAAGTCCATCTCGAAACTCGGGCTTCGCAGCGAGCAGAAGAACGGCGGCGGCACGCAGATCAGCACTGTCAACATTGGCGCATGCGGGTGCTGCACCAGCACCGCGGCCTCCGTGCCCACGACCTGCATCACCTGGGCCGCGGGTCCCGCTCGCCGTGACATACTCGCCCCCGCATTTCGAACAACAGAAATTGCCGAAGGACTTGTTCTCCCAGTGGCCGCAATCCCCGCAAACATCATACGGCTTGCCCTGGCCCTGGGGGTTCTTACGACGCCCGTCGCCACGCCAGGGGGCGCGCTGGCGCCACGACATCGCGGCGACGGGAGCGAGCGCAGCTGGAAGAACGAGAAAAGCAGACACACCCCCTGCAGGAGTGTCGTGGTTGCAAAATGACCCCTGAGGCCGCCCCCAGCTGACTCGAGCCTGCCGCACAGCTGCGGACAAGCTCGAAACCTCGCGGCAAGGTTTCGAACTTGAACCAACATGGCTACGGGAGGAGGATGAGGAGGAGGAGGAGGAGGAGGAGGAGGAGGAGGAGGAGGAGGAGGAGGAGGAGGAGGAGGAGGAGGAGGAGATGAGGAGGAGGAGGATGGGAGTGAGGAGGAAGAGGTAGTTAGGTAGGTAGGTGTGCTCCCTTTGAGCTGGCGGCGGAGGCGTCGGACGGCGCTTCCTTTTAGCAAGGAGCCACGACCCGGAGAGGGTTCGGAAGCGACCTTGCTGCGACGGCTCTGGAAGACAAAGCGCTAGCACTGGAGGGAACGGGGGGAGGGTAGGCGAAAGCTTTAGCTCTCGGGGGGCCTGGGCGGAATGCTTGGGTCGGCGCTGGACCCCCCCCCCCCCAGCGCTCAAAACGAGCCCGGGGAGCGGCGCCAAGGCGCCGGGGGGGGGGGCACAGCCCCTACCCAGGGACACCCCCCCCAGCCACCGAAGGACGTCGCAGCTCCAGCCAACACCTCCGCCCTGAGCCTCAGCCAGAGCGAAGCAGCAGAGGCAACTCAGAGACTCCCCGCAACATGGGGGGGGGCCAGGCAGGGAGCACCTGCCTGGAGCTCGTCCGATCCCCACTACACTGCCTGGTCGACGCACCCCGCAGGTGCGGGACGGTGACAGGAAGGGGGAGAGGGAGCCACCCCGAGGGGGGGGGAAGGGGGCCCAGCCCGACCCGGCCAGCCTGCCAGGGGCCCACAGGGAGAGGAATACCGCTCCCGCTGCACCCCAGGGCAGGACCAGAGCTCCGAGGAGAATCCAGCCGTGGCGACAAAGAGACCCCCAAACAAGCAGCGGTCAGGGAACCTTCCCCCAGAAGCGCCAGGCAGAGGGGAGGGAGGGCGGCAGGGGGCGAGATCGGAAGGGGAGAGAAAACCACCCCAGAGAGGAAGAGAAAGGAGGAGAGGACGGGGCGAAGAGAGAGGCCCATCCCGGCCCGACCCGACACGACCGCCTGGGCTCCCGGGCGGAAGGCAGGAGGGAGGGAGGGAGAAAAGGGAAGGAGAGAGGGAAGGAGAGGGGCGAGCGGGGGAGGGCTCAGCGAAGCGGGAGGGGGGGGGGGGCGGGCACGGGGGGGGGGAAGGGCAAGAGAAGAAGACGGGGAGAGAAGACGCGGGAACAGGGGAGACAAGAGCAAGCAGAGGGAGGAAGGGCGAAAGGGCCATGCGGCCTGCGGGGCTGGACCACCAGACGAGCGCTCCCGCGGTGCCGCCTGCTCAGCCACTCTGGGCGGCCCAGGCCCTCGGCCCTCCCCCCCCCCCCCCCGCCCAGCCCAACCCCACGGCGAGGGAGCGGGGGGAAGCGGCCCATCTCGGCCCGGCCCGACCCAACCCAGCCCTGCGGAGCGGGAGGACGGGGGGGGGAGAAGACAGGGCGATGTTTGTTGCGACCGCGGCGCCGTCGATCTGCAGAGGATTCGGGGGGGGGGGGCGCCCGGGAGGGCGGGGAAGGGGCAAAAGCGGGAGGAGAAGGGCATGGGGGGGGCATGGCTCCAGAACGGCAATAAACAACACCTAAATGAATTACCCACTTACAAAAGGTGGCGGGTGGGCGGGGCAAGTGTCCTTCACGACCTCTGCCTGCCACTCCTTGGGCGCACGGGGCGCTCCCTGGGCGCAAAGAGGGAGGGGGAGAGGCGGGAGGGGAGAGGCTCTGCCGAAGGGGTCCTACCGCGGGGCAAAGCTACCTGCCTCAGTCAGACGCCAGGGGCGGCGACCACTCTGCCGGCGGCAACGGCGGCAGGCTCGGAAGCCCCGGCTGACCGCCGGCCGCCCAGGGAACGGGCGGGTTGCCATTGTTCCAGGGCACGGTCCAGGCCTCGATCTGGGCCAAGATCTGGTCCGTGGCCCCCGCGCTGGCGGGCGCGTGCACATGGCCCTGCTTGCGAAGCCATACGTGGGCTGCTCCTTTTTTCCGCCCAAATTGCAACAGCACTCCCTTGGGGTCGGAGGCCTTCTTCGGGACGTGGCACCACTTGCCGGTGGCCATAAGAGGGCTGCCCACAGGGTGAGTGTATGCCCAGTACAGCACAACCCGGTCTGAAGGAAGACTCCCGTCTGGGAGCCTCCGCACCCACCTGTCCACGCGGCGCTTGTCCACCGCTGCTGGCGCCGGGGCCTGCGCACGCTCGAACTCCGGGAACAGCGAGTCGCCGGCCTTCCGCGTCGGCGTCACGGCTCCCCCCCCGGCCCCGAGCTCGCCGGAGGGGCTCGTCGCTGCGCTCGCAGCGGGCAGCAAGACCCGGGCCTGGGCGTCGCGTTCCTGACCCAGCAGGGCCCGGGCCTGCGCCTGGGGCACCGCGCCCCCCCCAAGGGAACTGGCTGGGCCGCAAGAGCCACACAGGAGCGTCAGCCCCGAGGGCCCCGCGGTGGCGACGAGAGCATACCCCTTCTGGCCGCGCACCGTGCAAGCAAGGGTCGGCAAGGCGCTGGCTCCGAACCCAGCACAAGTGCCCTGCCCAAGTCCGACTCCGCGGCCGCCCGGGACCGTCTGCCGGGCAGGCTCGTAGAGCCCGGCGAAGCTCGTCGGCTGCAGCGCTGCGCTGGCTGCGGGGGGCAGGGGGGCCTTCTCCGCGCTGGTCTGGGCGGTGTTCCAGGTGCCCCAGCAGGTCTCGCAGTAGGAGGTCTCCGCGAAGACGCCCTGGCCCGCTACGAGCTGCACGCCCGCGGCTCCGCAGCCCTTGCACTGCGCCGCGACAGCGTCGTTCTCGAGCGAGAGCGCCTCTCCGCTGGCTGCGGCCCCCTCCTTCGCCTCCAGCTTCGCCGGGTGTTCCTCGGCCGGGGCTGCGGCGAAGCTCGCGGGCTGCAGCCCTGCGCCGGCTGCAGGGGGGGAGGTCTTCCCCGCGTTGACCTGGGCAGTGTTCCAGGCGCCCCAGCAGGCCTCGCAGTAGAGGGACTCCGCGAAGACGCCCTGGCCCCCGACGAGCTGCACGCCCGCGGCGCCGCAACCCTGGCACTGCGCCAGGGAAGCGCCACGCTCGAGCGCATGCTCCTCACCGCCGGCTGCGGCCTGCCCCTTCGCCCCCACCTGCTCCGCGCGCTCCTCGGCCGGAGCTGCGGCGCAGCTCGCGGGCTGCAGCCCTGCGCCGGCCGAGGGGGGGGAGGTCTTCTCCACGCTGGCCTGGGCGGTGTTCCAAGTGCCCCAGCAGGCCTTGCAGTAGGAGGTCTCCGCGAAAACGCCCTGGCCCACGACGAGCTGCACGCCTGTGGCTCCGCAGCCCTGACACTGCGCCGCAAAAGCGCCGTGCTCGATCGAGAGCTCCTTCCGGCTGGCTGCGCCCTGCTCTTGCGGGAAACCCTGGTCTTGGTTCTGGCCGGCCTCGGAGCAGGCGCCCGCCCGGGCGGCGGCCTGGGGCCCCCTCTGTGCGTCTAGGCCACCGGCCGAAGATTCCGGGGGCGAGTCACTCTGCGTGGCCAGGAAAGCGAAGGCAACCTGACCCGGGGGTGGGCCGCCTGCTGCCGCCGCGGCCCTCCAGGACGACTGTTGGGCCGGCTCCATGAGGTTCCATTGGTGCTTCACGGACCTCTCGTAAATTGTTTTCTTGCAGGGACCACCAGGGTTGTGCTTGTACTCAAAAGCCGCCGCTGCCCCCAGACTGGCACGCATACTGGGCCTGTGCGCCATCCAGAACTTTAGGACTACATCCTGCTGCGCCTCCACCGAGGAGCCAACCTCCTGCTCCGTGGACTTGGTCCGCTTGGCAGGAGGCCCTTCCATGCCGCTTCCAGATGGCGTGGGTAGTGTAGGCAGTGGGCGGGGGGCCTTGCTACAGTCAATCCGTGCAGTAAGGATGCGCGATAAGAATGCAAGGGCCAGGGACAAAGAAACGAAGCTCACGAGCGGAGCACGGCCAAGGAACGCGGCAAAGATCCCACCGAAGGGGCAAGGAAGCAGGGGTGCCCAGAGAAGGCTGCCCATCCCTGTTATGCGGGTTGACTGTACTGGCGGGTTCCCTGGAACCAACAGCTGCGGAAGACGAGAGAGGAGGGAGGGGAAGGAGGACAGAACAGAGGGGGGGGGGACGGAGCCAGCACGCCGTCGAGAGCTTGCCCCTCGCCCCTCAGCGGCTCAGATAAACCCATGGGACGAGGGCCGGTGGCTTCCTGAGAGCGGTCAGGATGAGCGGCAAGGGACGGTGTGCTGAGTCGACCCTGGGCCCCATCCACCACGCGCAGGCCCGTCCTCTCGGGGCCGTCCGATCCCCCTCCAGGACCACTCCTTCGAACAGCAGGTCCCAGCCAAAATGACGCGGCACCGGCTTCAGACACCAGACAGAACCGCAAAAGAGACGCTCAACCTCGATCGCCTTGCCACAACGCGTCGGCACGGACCCGCCGCAAAGGAGCGGGGGAGGAGGTAGGGAGGGCAGAGAGGAGGGAGAGGGAGGAGATGGAGAGGGCCCGGCCTGGCCCGGCCCAGCCGATCCCGACCCAGCCCGACCCGGCCTAAAGGGCGGGGAGGGAGGGAGGGAGGGAGGGAGGGAGGGGCGAGAGGAGGAGAAGGAGGAAGGGTGAGGCGGGCGGATGAGGAGAAGGAGAAGGAGGAGAAGGAGGAGAAGGAGAAGAAGGAGAGGGCGGATGAGGCCGCCCCCAGCTGACTCGAGCCTGCCGCACAGCTGCGGACAAGCTCGAAACCTCGCGGCAAGGTTTCGAACTTGAGCCAACATGGCTACGGGAGGAGGATGAGGAGGAGGAGGAGGAGGAGGAGGAGGAGGAGGAGGAGGAGGAGGAGGAGGAGGAGGAGGAGGAGGAGTAGGAGGAGTAGGAGTAGGAGGAGGAGGAGGAGGGGGGGGGGGAGGAGAAGAGGAGGAGTAGGAGTAGGAGTAGGAGCAGGAGGAGTAGGAGGAGGAGGAGGAGGAGGAGGAGGAGGAGGAGGAGGAGGAGGAGGAGGAGGAGGAGGAGGAGGAGGAGGAGGAGGAGGGAGGAGGAGGAGGAGAGGAGGAGGAGGAGGAGGAGGAGGAGGAGGAGGAGGAGGGGGAGGAGCAGGAGGAGGAGGAGGAGGAGGAGGAGGGGGGAGGGAGGAGGAGGAGGAAAATAATGTCTCCCCTCTTGAGTGGGTTCTTTGGTTTTTGTCCCGCCCTGCGCTGGAGTTCTGGTCGCCACTGCTTGTTTATGTACGCTTCTCTTTGTCCGTTCCTTGCTGGTCTGCTGTGCCAATCGGCTGTGCTGGTCTGCCGTGCTGGTCCGCTTTCCCATGCTGGTATGTTGTGTCTGTGCACTTTGTGTACGATGGCTGTAACACGGCAAACATAATAATCACGAACACGATGCCGTCGGAAGAGGACGGGCGAGACCAAACGACAGATCAGAACTGCGCGGCGCGCTGGCATGTGTGCCCAACATGGCGGACCACCACAACATGTGCTGTGTGCCGCGTGCGATGGGATTAGGCTGATTTCCAGGCCAGAGAGGAAAACGGCTTCCCGGGTCGTTTTCAGGGCACTGGGGACACTCTCTGTTGTCGATTCGCCGCGGCCGCCCAACAATGCTGTCAGGCCTCGGCGGGGCAGGGAGCAGACAGTCCCTCACCAGTCCCGGGGCCAGTACTCGCGCAGCAGATCTGCGAGGCGGGCGTTGTGGCTGCTGTAGAAGCTCCTCAACTTCTGCATGGCCTCGGGCGCCTCGGTGTCAGCGTACCAGCGGCCCTTGTAGTCGTGGTTGGCAAAGCTGTGGCCTATATCGTTGAGCTGTCCCCATGGGTACTCCTCGAAGGGCAGGCCCACGTGCGCCAGGAGCTGGGTCGCCTTGAGGTCTGCTCCGTCCACGAGGTTCACGACGAGGACCTTGTGCTTGCCGAACGTTTCAAACCATCTCTGCAAGCTGTCAACGTAAACGCCCTTTAAGATTGAGTTCTTCCGTGCGTCCGCACAATTTTTGGGGCTGCGACCTGCAGAACTCGCTGTCTTCCTGAAGCGCCGCAACCCACTCGGCAAAGCTAGCTGGACGCTTCACTTTGGCGTCGTCGAAGAAGCGGTACAACGCCTTCTCGTCCCACTTCAAGTGGTGGTAATACTCGGCGTACAGGCGGGCGGCTGGGTCGCAAAGGGTAAAGATGACCTTGGCATGCGGTAGCAATCTCTTGGCATGTGCAGCCACATCTGGGAGCAAGTGCGTGTCCAAATACGACGGGGATTTGTCCACAGTCAGGTTGTGGAACCCATCTACCCGGGGCAGCTGCTGTGCCAGCAGGTGCTGGCCCTCGTCGCCTTCGTAGTCCCTCGGCGGGCTGCGCAACGACGTCAGGTGGGTGAAGTAATTCGACTCCCACAGCCTCTCGGCTCCATCTTTGGAGGCGCCCTGGAACCTCTCCATGCAGTCCGTCGCATTGTCGTGGCACGGCGCGCACTCCTGGCCGCGGCAGTAGTGGAACTTGACCCA